CAGACAGCCCCCAGGGTGTGAAATGGCTTTAATATCCTACACCATGCCCAATACACACAATATCCAGGCTCCCCACATAAGAGGAGCATGAAGACAGATGGTCACCATAGGAAAGAAGAGAAAAGCTAGCAAAAGAACAGGATTACCCTGAAATCACACCTTTGAGCCACATTAAAGATGCAATAAGAAACACAACCCCCACCTTTCAGTAATTTAACAAATGGCATCTTTTCCCACAGGAATGCTTTAGAGATGCACATTTGGAGCCTGGCCTTCTGCCTAGAGCCAGGAAGACCCAGCTACTCATAAAAAGGTGCTGGTAGAAACCGACAAAAGCAGCTTAGAACCAAGACTGCCGCTGACCAACTTAGAGAATGCCACTGCGGAGTGTCTCCTCACAGGGTGCTGGACCTACCACAGGGTGGTGGGTGGGACCTCAGGACAGTTAATGGGACCACAGTTCCCTGGGCGGGGACCTCAGGGCAGTGGGCGGGGACCACAGGGCAGTGGGCGGGGAACTCAGGGCAGTGGGCGGGAAAATCAGGTCAATGGGCGGGGTCATTCTCGAGGCATGAAGCACTTGAGTTATGTGTGTGACTTTGAGCAAGTTGGTTCACATGCTGACAGCTTCCTAATTAGTGTCAGGTTTAAGATCCCTGGCTGGTTCCTTGCAGGACAAGTGTGTTTCTACAGCATGGTGAGAAAACCTAAGAGAGCATGCTTTGAGAAATAAACAAAACAAAAACGTAAAGCAATGACTGGTTTGAAAAGAAGGGCTGCTCCCCTGGCATTAAAATAAACACCTGAACATAGCTGATCCAACTGACCTTATGGATGACAAAACGGGCAACTCTAACGGACAATTGGGTTGACCCTTTATATCTCATCGGTTCCTTTCATGAGGGTTAATGCTTCTAATTATTAAAATTAAATATCTATTTTTAAAATATTGGCTCCTGGTACAAAGTCTATGACATAAATGTCAATTTCTTGTTCTCAGAGGAGGACACACGGTTCTGAGATGCTGACTCCGAAGTTTGCACAGCTGGAACACACAAGGTGGCAGGGGTTGCAGTTGATCAACAGAATGTTCATTACCATTGGATTTCTGTTGACTCCATGTGTGTCTGCGTACAATTGTGTTCCATTGGGATCTCAGTGACCGGGTTTCAGAGGTTGATCTAGGCTCATGAGCAGAACTGACTCCTTAAGATTACCAGGCACATCCTGGCTCACAGGCGCTGTGAATTAGCTGCTGCTAACCAAGGTCTCTTCAACCAGTCCCTTAAGAAGAAACCAAGATGTGCCCAGATCAGGGGACACAGTCATCTCCAAGCCCCCTCCTGGAAAAGGAGAGCATTCCACCAGAAGATAGATGCAGGTCCTGGTGGCCCAGAAATACCATGGTGGTGGGCTTCAGGGACCCCTGCTCTAAACCATCATTCATTGAGCATCTGCCACTCCCGGCTCTTCCCTCTGCTCCTGGGGCACAGAATCCACCCCTCTGTATCTCCCTAGGGCATCCTGGGAAAGGACACAGGTGCAGATGTGGCCTAGACTGCAGTGATGGGCAGTGAGGTGGTGATGAGACTCAGCAGGTGTGAGCCCTGCTCCCTGGACCACATGCACTGTCTCTGTGTCTCTCCAAGCACACAAAGCACCTCCGAAATCTCAGAGCAATCAGAATGACGTACAATCTGTGAGGCATTGGAGTCTGGCCAGTTTCTGGGGTCACCTAAACACTGAGCCCTGGTTGGGGGTGAGACAAATGCCTCTCCATGACATTGGACTATGGGGATGTCACCCAGCTGCTCAGACTGGGTGAGAGTGAGGAGGCAGCAGCAAAGGAGTGGGGTTGGGGCAGAAAGTCTCAAACTCCACAGCGCCTGAGATCTCCTGGAGAGACCTTTTAAAATGTGGGTACCTCAATACCAGCCACCCGAGATCCTGACTGGTTCTGAAATGCCACCCACCCTAAGTATAGCATTTAAATCAGTTTCCTTAACAGAGCTTTCACTGGCTCACACTCCAGCTGAGAAATTGTGTTTCCACCACAACTATCAGTATTGTCATTGTTAAAAAAGGGAATCTGAAGGCGATATCTATGTCTACATAAGTATCACCCAGGGATCCTGTAGAAACACAGATCCTGATTCAGTCTATTGGAGATGGAAATGCAAATTCTCAGCAAGAGACAGGACATGAATGAACTGGTTAAAGCCCTGCCCTTAACAGAAGCCCATTGTCCCTAAGCAGGGGTACTGAACCTCTGTTAAGAGTGAAGAGAATTTTGGAACTAGATAATGGTGGTGGTTGTACAACATGATAAACAACTAATGTCAATGGGTTGTACACATGAAGAACATTGAAACTACAAGCAGGAATTTGTTACATGGATAATTATAATAAAACATATTCATAAGAATTTTTTTTTAAGGATTTTGACTTCTTTACCTGTAAATTTTGATCCTGGGGAACACTGCAGACTTGTCACAGAAGTAGGATGAGTCCCTGTTTCCAAATATTGGCCCCATTGTTTATGTTCTCAGGAAAATGACCTCATTTTGGGGGGTGTTGTTTTTCCCATTCTAAAAGCCTCTGGATTAGAAGATTTCTAAGGTCCCTGAGATTGTTCTATCAAAAACAAAGTTATTATCTTTGTTATCTCCTTATGTCTTATGGCATTCTGCTGTGGTGCTGTGGGTTAATGTGTTGCACTGCAAAGTAAGTTTGAACCACAAGGTTGGCGGTTCAAGCTCATCAGCTGCTCCTCAGAAACCCTATACAGGGTCTCTATGGGCACTTCACAACAACAAAAATCTATGTCTTATAAGGATTTGGAAGCAAACTGAAATGGTACATGTGAATATGTTCTGGAAGGTCTTGCCATTTTGTTCTGTGGGGTAGGGCTTGCCATGGACCCTTGACACCTGCTGACCCCAAATGAACACCCATCAATTGAACAAAAGGAGACCAAATACAATAGTTCTTTTTCCACAAAGAACCTTCTGACTTTACTCTTTGGAGGAGGTACTCTTGGTTCCTAACTCAACTAGGACTTTCTAGTGCAAGGATGAGGCAAAGGACATGCTTGAATTGGTTGGTCAGTGACTAATTGGGGGAGTGAACTAATGAATGAGCCAACCAAGCCATCTTTCATGAATGAACGCAGATAGAGTAGTTCATTTGGGCCACTGGTACATGGTCTAGAAGCAGTGTTTGGCAGGCTGGGACCATGAGCAAGGCTGAACACAAGTTTCCACCTTGCTTCCTTCACTCCCACCTTGTGGCCCTGCAGGGTGGTGGTGCTGTGAATCACCTCTCATTCATGGTGACCAGACGTAGGCTTCATCTTCAGGGTCTCTAAAGTGTTCAAGTCCATAGTTGTGGCTACCATGTCAACCCCATTGGATCAAGAGTTTCCTTCATTTTTACTGACCCTCTGCTTGATCAAACCATCCTACCTAAGCAGATGTGAATTTTCCAGGATATGACACGAAGTCACTTCAGCAAAAGCTATGGTAATGAGTCCTTGTCCCCAGAAGTAGCTTAACCATGCTCACTCACTCAGCATGCAAATGGACACTTGGCATAGGCAGACTTCGCGACTGGAAAAGCACCCTTGTACAAGTGGATGTGGGGCAGAAATGAATCAGCAGAAGGAACGGAAGAAAAGAAACTCAGATTTATTGAGCACCTGGTGGAGTGGACATGCACTCCAATGCGGATTGTTCAGAGATGGGATTCAAGACGTTTCCCAGCTCTGGTCAGTACCCTGGCCAGTTACCATCCTCTGAGAAACAAGGGAGGGGCCACAGACACTTTGATTTACAGTTCACATGACTGAAAACAATAATGAGGAACTTGAGGAGCTCTATCCAGTGCGTAGAAGCCAAGTTAGTGCTCAAAGGTTGCTTTGTCCATGAGGTTCCCATCTTTGGCCCTAACACAGGAGCCTACCAAACCATGGACAACCAATAGACAAAGTTTTCCTTCTGCAAGCTGGAGAAACCACGAGAGATCAGCATCCCCAACTGTCACTTTCAGGCTCTGTGTGAGCATTTCCTGCTAGAAAAACATTCTTCCTGTGTGTGAATTCTTTGCTTGCATTCTGCCTTTTTCTCCCCTGAAAAGTCATAATCTAGGGATCATTCCTCCCTGGGAACCTCTAGCACAGTTAAGAATATAAACTTATTTTCTCAAGTTTTCCTTTGGAGAAGAAAGGTACATTTGGTAAGTATCGGGTCAGGATTCCATAGCACCAAGAGTGTCTTTCCAATGGGCAGCTAGACAGAGCAAGAGGATGATGAGTATGCTCCAGTAACAAATCCAACAACAAATAAAAACAAACATAGAATACAAAATCTAGAAGTCAATAGAAAGGAAAAAGGAGTCTGGGTATCACAAACGATCATCCCATGTTGTTGAGAGCTATCTTTCAAATCGTCTGCACTGAACTCTTTAACTCATTCCACTGAAAGTTGAGCACAGCAGGGTCTTATTCCCAAACCCTCCATTGCTTTGGGCTGTCTTCGCAGGGCACCCCCTGCCTCCTTCCTTTTTGACCCTAGTGCATGCAGGCAGGAGCCTATTATTAACTTTGCATTTATAAATGTTAAAAAACCACAATCGGCAGCTACACTTTAGCTTGGGGCTGTCAGAAGACAACAGGAAAAAACATCCCCTACCACACACATCAAAGTCTCCTGAGTCTAGAAGAGCAGAAAAGCATCCCACCAGGCATCAGCCTATGAAATAACAGTCACATCATCATGAACAATCATAATATTAATTATCATCTGACCGACCCACAACATCTGTGGGTTTTAATCATTGTGAGTTCTCCTCCCACAGCTGGAAAACAAAGACAAATGAAAAACAAAATTTGAGGACAAATACATGTTTGTTCTGAAATGTTTCAAGGCCGCTCTGGCTTCCCATCAGGCTCTGAGTTCAAGTTTCAGGAAATCCACTGCAGGCTCCGGGCTCTTCAAAATCTTCTAGGGACCCTTCACATTACCTGGCCGAGCAGCAAGGCTGGCGAAGTAGGCGCACTGGGAGGGGTCACACTGTCCAGGGGAACCAGGTGGGCCTGGGGGCCCAGGATGTCCCACTGGTCCTGTCTCCCCTTGAGGGCCAGGACTCCCAGGAAGTCCATCTTTCGCATAGCCAGGCTCCCCTGGTTGGCCTGAACGAGGATGACAAGAAACAGAAAAGGTGGCTCAGCTCCTTGTGAGCAATGCTGCCATCTGAGTCCCTTTTCTTCCTTTGCAAGGATTGTTCTATGGGATTTGTAATTCATGAGATCTATTTCAAGAGCTCCTGGAATCCACTACAACGATCATAGTAAGTCAAGAAGCTAGCATTTTAGAAAGATTTCATGAAAACAAATCAGTGCTTTCTGGCTTCTCCTCACACAAACCTGGCCATCCCTCCCCACAAATCCCTGTATTCTGTGTCCTGTGTGTGTATCACCTTCGTGATAGATGCCCCTCCCCAGACCTGACCACTTCTACCTGGGATTCCAGGGGGTCCCATCTCGCCTCGCAGGCCAACTCCTGGCACACCTGGATCACCTTTGGCTCCTCGGTCACCTGGTAAGAAAATGTGCACCTTGGGTGTGGAGACCTTGGATGAGGGCAGAGAGAGATCCCCGCAGGATGTGTGGGTCCAACACTTGGGTGCCATGGAGCCCAGCTCCAAACCCCTCTTGTTAGTTGGGGACACACACCCATGCCTCCTTCACCCCCCCTGGGTCCCTCTTCCCCAGGAGGAAGAGTGGATTATAAGGTCACTGAGCTTGGCTTTGGTCTTGTCTCTCTCAGTCTCTCATATCCCTCTACCTGCAGAGCCTGTATTCTGACCAGCTTTCCACTCTGTGGTTGCTAAGTGGGAAGGAGAGACTGCTGTTGCCCAAAGCTCCCTGTAGCCTGCATGGTGACCTGATTACCGCTCTATGGTCGCTAAGTGGGAAAGAGAGACTGCTGTTGTTCACAGTTACCTGGACCCTGAATTCTGACCTGCTTACCCTTCTGTGGTCACTAAGTGAGAAGGAGAGACTGCAGTTGTTCAAAGTTAACCAGACCCTGAATTCTGACCTGCTCACTGCTCTGTGGTCGCTAAGTGGGAAGAAGAAATGGCTCTAGTCAGGTGTCCTACTCTGAAAGCCAGAAATTAGGCAGCCATTTTTGGCTGCACTTCTAAAGCCACTCTCTCCAATTCTCATGCTGGCATTTAATTTTCACTGTGCTTGAGTCTAAAGGTATTATTGCTCAGTTCATCTCAACTCAGAAGGGGAAGGAGAGAGTGTATTGACCTAGCTTTCGGAGACTTGAACTGTGGAAAAGAAGAGCAAACAAAAAAGTAGCAGAGAATGCATTCAATTTTTCAAAAAATGTCAAGTATGAAACCCTCTTATGCATATGGAAAAATTACAGGATGCCAAAATGCAGGGCGTTACCAAGCTGTAGGAAATGAGGAAGCTTGAACAATGCAGACAGTTCTGGGGAGCCTCTGGGTTCCTTCTCAGGTAAGATGCATCTCCTTCAGGGGCTTCACTTACCTTTGGGACCCAGTGGTCCAGAGGGTCCTTCAAGGCCGCCCTGCCCGGGTCTGCCTGGCTCCCCTATGGGGCCTGCCTGGCCTGGAAGGCCATCTTTTCCAGGGGGCCCAGGGGGCCCAGGTCTGCCTTGGGATGCCTTCATGTGTGCTGGAGGCATCTGAGCCAGGAGATAGGCAAGTCTGTCTGTGGATCAGGAAAGAGAGAGAGATGACTTAGGAAGGCAGGATGAAGGCAGGATGGAGAAGGTCCTTATGGACCCACGGCAAAGCTCTAAACTCAAGAGACAATAACAATCCAACAACAATGAAACACCCTCAACAATGTCCTGCGTGGTCCTTGTGTCTGTGCTGGGCCAGTCACTGCCTCTCCTGACTAGGACCCCAATGCAACCGTGTGGCCATGTTGGTAAGCTCCTTGACCTGCCTTGACCTTGGCATCTTTTATAAAATGTAGACAGTGAGCTGATGACAACATATAGGATGGAGTAGATGAGACGCTATGTGCAAAACAGTATCTGACTCGTGCTGTGCACTCAGTAGGCACTGGCCACTGTGATAACAGGACCATGCAGTGGCGATGCTTGTTGTTGTTGTTGTTGTGTGCCGTGGAGTCGACCCTGTACAGGGTTTCCAAGGCTGTAAGTCTTTACAGGAGCAGAAAGCCTCATCTTTCTCCTGTGGAACAGCTGGTAGTTTCGAACTGCTGACCCTGCGGTTCGCAGCCCAATTTGTAACCACTACGCTACCAGAGCTCCTTGGTGGTGATGGTGGAGGGTGATAATAGTAGTAGTCATTGTCAGATGGGGAAATGGACATTTACATCAAGCTACTTAGGGATTCTTCCTCTGTGGATATCAACTTCCTCATCTGCAAGCTGAAGGGCTGGGTATGCTACCCATTAAAGATCTGCATGCATCTACAGCATGAAGCTCCCAGGACTACTTCTGATCCCTTAAATTCTGGCTGCTGTTCCTCCACATCTTCCTGTCAGACAGTGAGCTCACCGTATGGCCACCAAGAGCCATGTCCGTCACAGTCAGACAGCCACATCCATACCCCTCATCTCTTTGGTGGCATGATGGAGCCCAGTGAGGCTGGTGGCTGCCCAAGCCCCCTTGATGTGAAACCCAGGAAAGCAAGGGTCTTGTCCATTGTTATGACTGATGGGTTTCCCCACGGGCAAATGGAGGACTGTGGTCTTATCTGGGATGTTGGCAAATTATGTCTCCAAGCCTTGGTTCTCTCATTTTCAAATGGAGGCAATGCTGCCTCCTCAGAGGACTGTTTGGGAGAAAGGACTCAGCTGAGAAGACACTCCATCCAAACCACATTCACAGATGGTCATGTCTCCCCAGCACGGGAGAGGCTGATTCCTCAGTGATAAGTTGAACCCACGGAAAGAGAACTTGGAGACCACCACCCAGGGAACCTCAGGACACACTGGCCTGGGCACCCACCACTCTGATCTTTGGATTGTTTCCTTTCTTCACCCTCTCACCCACCCAACCTCAGCTCCTTGCTCTGGAAAACGATTACATGCCCGAATGTGTGTGGGGATGGACCAGCCTGGCCTGGACTCCCTACAGGCCAGGGATGACTATCATCTTGTTGCCTGCTCTCCCTATATCCAGCACCAAGCCTGGTATACAACAGGTGCAAAATAACCGTCTACAGCCTGGCCAAGTGCACCAGTGCTGGGGAACAGTGCTGATTCCCTCACCTTCCCTGATACAGGGTGGGTGGTGACCTGCTTCCCCACAGAGGGAAGTGGGAATGACTGTTAGTCTAGACAGTGTGTTGGTTGTGAGTGTGAGCACCTCACAGGCGGCTCAAGTGCGATTTTTCACCCTGCCGTGAGCTGGTTCAGCATTTCTGCTGCTGGGCTCCCAGTGACCCTTCTAACATCTACACACATCTCCAAGGCTTCTGGGGAGATGTCTAGGAGATTGCATAGGTAAATGCTTAGACCCCTTCCAAGATAGGTACAGTCCCTACCTGCTGGCGAGGTTCCTGTGACCTCCCCATCCTTCTTCCTTGCTGAGCACCTGCTACGTGCCAGGCACATGATAGGCTGAGGGGCTGAACCAATCCCTCCAGTACAGCTGAAAGGAAAGGCCTAGCATTTCCTTGAATGCCCTGTGTTTCCTTGTTCCTTTTGGTCTTTCTACATGTTATCCCAAAGAGCCTCATGTTGTCTTTCTGCTCGCAGCTCACAGGGATCTGCCTCCAGGAGGTCTTCTCTCATCAGTTCCCCACCTTCTGAGCTTTGGCCTGTCTCCTTTCAATACCCTCTGAGTTCAATCACAGCACAGAACTCTCCATGTTGTGCTGAAATTGTCTAGTCCACTCACTCATCTACCAGGACTGTGAGCTCTGTGAGGGCCACAGCAGCCCCACCAGTGTGATGTGTTGGCTGGATCAGAGATGGAAAGCACAAATGAATAACTACAGCAGAGCTCCATGAGTAGGCAATGAGCTCCCCATCACTGGAGGCAATCAAACGCTGAAAAGGGAGTCTATTGTGTCATCTAAGGGCACTGCCAATCCTGAAGTTGTACATTTGAACCACTCTTTGTGTGTGTTTTCCAAACCAGACTGGAAATGTTACAAAAGACAAATGAAAGAAATGCCTCCTAGACTTATCACAAGTCTCCAGACCTTATCTGCTCAGTTGCAATAAAGTCCAGATACTCACTTTCCAGCTGTTTTCCGAGCTCTTCTTGAATAAGCCGCCGCAGGGTGTCTGTGGACGGAGACTCTCCCTAGGAAGGGAGAAGTTGGATTATTTATCTTCCCAGTCAGCCCTGCTGCCAGGGACCCCCACCTTCCTAGTCCTATCCCTTTTCACACTGTTTCTCAGAGATACCTGCTGCCGTGGGATCGACTCTAACTCATGGTGACCCTCCCTACATGTATCACAGTAGAACCGTATTTCACACATTTCCAGTAGCTATTAGGAAGCAAACAGCCAGCCTTTCTTCTGAGGGGCCTCTGGCTTGACTCCAACCTCCAACTTTTTGGTTAGGAGATGCATCCACTGTCTGTACCACCCAGGGGCACCATAACACACTAAGCACATGTATGTCAATAATTGTCAACAGCACATTGCTGTTTCCATGGAGAACTGAGGGTTTTCACCCAGCCTATCACATGAGACTGCCCTACACCATTGCAGGTTGATGAACTGAGTTGGAAGCTTCCATTTGTCAGTGGGGGTTGCTATGGTTTTGATGCCGGACATATTTCAGTGGAGCTTCTAAATGAAGATGGACTAGGAGAAAAGGCCTAGAGAGCTACTGCCAAAAAGAAGCCAGTGAAAACCCATGGATCACATCAGGCTGAGACCATCATACACAGGGATGGCTGTGAGCTGATCTGACTCTTCCACAGGTAATGACAACAGGGCATCCTGTTTAGGAGAGGGGGTCTTTGCTAAATTGCATTTCTGTAGACTCTCTTCTTTGGTTATGAATTTGTGACCATGGTCTTTAAAATTCAATGAGGCTGCAGAACAAAAAGTTCCTAAGCTGGCTATCCTGTCACCAAGACGGTCACCATGTGTGAAGGACTCATTAGCCTGGAGACACAGGTGGTGTTCTTTTCAGCGTTTCCCAAGCTGTGCCAAAGTTGAAGCCCTAACGATGCAGTGGTAAGCAATTGCCTGCTAATTGAAAAGGTGCTGGTTTGAACTCACCAACTGCTCTGTGGGAGAGAGATGTGGCAGTCGGCTTCCGTTGAGATGTACAACCCTGGAAAACCTCCGGAGAAGTTCTATTTTGTCCCTTGACATTTCTAGGAGTCAGATCGGCTCCATGGCCATGAGTTTCCTTTGGTTTTTTAAGTCGCACTAAGGAGTTCTGATGTGATGTTGCAGGATAATGTGCTGGACCACAGGTCAGTTTGAGCTGCAAAGTTGGCAGTTCAAACCATCAGACGCTCCTTGGAAACCCTATACAGGGTCGCTAGGAGTTGGAACTGACTCAATGCGACGGCACTTAACAGCAACAAATAAATCCTGAAAGGAGCCCTGCTACCTACCATAGTGGTTACGCATTGGGATGCTAACCACAAGGGCAGCAGTTCAAATCTATCAGTTGCTCTGTGGGAGAACTGTGAGGCTTTCTGCTCCCATAAAGATTTACTGGCTCAGAAACCTTATACAGGGTTGCTATGAGTTGGGACCAACTCAACAGCACTTAATAACAACAACTAGGCGCCCTGGTGGCACTGTGGTTAAGCACTCAGCTAGTAATGAAAAGTGTGGTGCTTTGAAGTTACCAGTTCCTCTGCAAGGGAAAGATGAAACAGTCTGCTTCCATAAAGATTAGTCTTGGAAACCCTTGGAGCAGCTCTGTTTCCCTAAGGGTAACTACAAAGTGGGGTTGATTCTACGGCAATGGGTTTAATCTTTCAGGTTACTTACCTAGTAACCCTGTCACACCTGTCTGAAAAGGAGGCTGTCACCCAGCTGAGGAAGGCAGACTTGGCCAAGTCACACAGCCAGTTATTTGTAGGCTCCCTACTCAGGCTGAGCAGAGCCCCCTGTGAGGCTGGGTTAGCATCCTTACCCTGGGTCCTGGGAATCCTGGCTGGCCTGGAGCCCCCGGGGGTCCTGCTGGTCCGCTCTCCCCTGGCAGTCCCTGGGGACCCATCAGACCGGTATGGCCTTTGTGACCCGGGATTCCAGGATCCCCAGGTTGGCCCTTCCCACCAGGAGGTCCCTTATCTCCTTTGGTCCCAGGGTCTCCCTAGAGGAGGAGAGAAGTGAGTCAGTGGATGGGAGCCGACTCTCAGATGTGTGTAGCCCTGGAACAGAGACCTGGGTCCTGGTCAGTGGTGACTCAGAGCCAAGGATGTCCAGGAGTCCATCTTCTGGCTGAAGTACACTCAAGTGTCACAGGGTGTATCTACTGGACAAAGTGAGATCCCAGTTCCCAAATTCCAATGTCGGGCTCCATCCCAACAGAGAAGGCCAGTGTGGGGATGGGTCTAGTTCTCTGACAGATGCAGGGACAGTGGTGATCTTCACTAGAATTCTCACACTTAGGCTATCTCCCATGTCCTCCTCTTAGCTTCCCCTACCTACTGTCCAGTGCCCTTGGGGAAGCCTCGACCTGGGACCATTTCTGCTCATCTTGACCAGAGTGGGGAGTGTTGGGCCCATTTGTTTGGGAACCATGACAACTGCAGAGCAGTCTGGTCTTTTGCCTTTTCCTGTGACTGTGTCTGCCCAGTGAACCCCAGTGGTCAGTGGGTATGGCCACATGGTGAGTCCATCCATGGGCTTACAGTGTATACCCTACTACTTTGTGAGGTGCAGCCGAGAAGGATTGGGACCAGGTGAGGGAAAGAGTGAAGAGGAAGAAAAGCAAGATGGCAGCTGTAAACTCAGCATGGCCACAGGATGGCCGAGCACAGGGATGAAGTCACTTCCCACACGCGTCTAAAGGAAGAGAAATGTAGTGATTGGAGTGTCATACTTCTAGGGGGAACCCACAGACACATGGGCTTGTACTATGCAGCCTCTCTGGGAAGTACAGCACATACAGGGCTGGGGTCAAGGAAGGGGATGGGACCTGAGGGACCAGGTGGGTGAGGGCACCATTTGTATTGTGTTGTATTCACGTTTGTGCAGTCTGCACAGTGATTATAGCGTCTCTTCAACGATAACAACTACAATGAGCAGCAGAATTTTAAAATCATGAATTTTCCAGATCCGATGACAGCTGCTTACGTTTCCCAGCTGTGATGTGCACTACGAGGATGGTGTCCTCATACCGAGTCGGTGATGGTGCTGGGTCTTGGCACCCCTGAATGTCAAACCCCAGAATATGTGCTGAGCAGCATCTATTCATTAAATGCCTCATATCAGCTCACAGCAAGAGGATCTGTTCCATGTTTCAAATATCTCAGGGGTGTGAGGGTGTAGCACAGCTCCATGAAACCACCTATTAGGAATTGACAGGTGGTGGGTCCGGTACCTAAGGTAAGCCTGGGCTCACTTGCGCTTACTTACTAATTTGTAGTGAACAGTTTCACCTGGGTTTACCTTGCTTACTGAGTATACGCCATCCCCACTAAGATGGTGAATATGAAGAAGCTTTGATTTGGAAGAGAGACAAATGGCAGCCAGACTTAGAAGCAAAATCTTACATGTGGTGAAAAACGTAAAACCATTCACTACAGATTAGATAATAAGCACACATACGCCTGTGCTTACCTCATTTACTTGGTAATCTGTCATTATGAGTAGATTAAGGTACTAGAAAAAGGATTCATATATATGCTCTGAAGTCTCAGGCTTGGCAGCAATAGCTCCCCTGGGTATATGATCCTCTCATGGGGGGACTGCAAAGCCCCCCACCACCTTGGCTCCATGACTCAGAGGAAAGAGCCAAAAGGACAGATGAGACCCTCAGTCATCAGGAGCCATGGGGAGGGAGACCAAGAGGGAGAGAGAAAGGAGGAGTGATTCTTTTCTTGTCTTTGTGCAAGCAGGAGAAGCCAGCCAATTCCTCACCCATCCAACTTGCAAAGAAAGACACCATCAATTCTGTGCAGGACCACAGAAAACAAGCTGGGTGGGTGGAGGGCAGGTGGTCTGACTGCCATGTGGAGCAACAGAGGGACACTTGCTGACCAAGGTTGCAGGCAAATGGGGCTAAATTTCCTTACAAGCATCAGCAGTTGTCCACATTGTGAGATCGCCCCCTCCCTGCTTAGAAAACGCTCCCTGCTCCACACTGTCATTTTATGGAGACATGTAAAGCATGCTGCCTTTCCGGGTGTGGTGCTGATTTATTATGGGAAAATCTCTTCCCTTGTCACTCCCTCCCCTGGCGACAATGCTGGCTCCTGGAAAATTGGCATTTGGGGAGCTCCGAGTGGTGGCTGTTTTGTCAAGAACCAGCTTTCGTGGAGGAGGAGGGGACTAGAGCAGAATCTGTCACTTCACTCCCTGGAATGTTTGCCTTTGAATGTGTAATTGTGGTGATTTTATGCCTTAAAGTAACAAGCAAAGGAAAATGCAGGCGAGAAAACCAGAGGACACCGTGGGTAGAAATGGACTTCTCTGTGAGTACAGTGGTCTGCCTGGGAATGGTGTGGAGAATCTTCAGTGTGAGCCAGCTCGTGAAAAGGTCATCTGTCCCACTTACCTGTTCTCCTTTGGACCCTGGCTCTCCAGGCTTCCCTGCAACACCCTGCATGGACATCCAAGAAGAGAGAGGTTACCCACCAGGGCAGGGACATAAGGCTCTATGTCCTCCCAGCTCTTCTGCACAGGCCCCTGGGCTGGAGGCCTGGCTGTGTCAATGTGGTAGGGCTTGTCCATGTCCCCTCCTACCTCCTGCCACTGCCCTCTCCAGGACCCTCAGCCCTGACACCAACCTACTACCTGTTCCCCTGAGCCATGGCCTGCCCCTCCTCCCCCCTCCTCCATCCTGCTCACCATCACTCTCAGCCCCTTCACTTGTCCAGGAGGCCTTGCCTGAGGAGACTTTGACCAGCACTCGCTGCCCTGGGCCCTGGTCAGCCATGCTCCAGCCAAACCCGGTGACAGTGCCTCCCAACACCACAAACAGGCCAGCGGCTATCATCACCCCTCTGCCCAGGTAACTAGTTCCTGGTCCCCAGGACCCTCCAGGAAACCCTCCTCTCAACTCTGATCCCTCAGCCCAGTTAACCAGCTCCTACATGGCCCCGAAGCTCCTTCTAGAAAGCCCGCTCTGTCCTCCTGTCCCTCCACCAGCTAACCAGCCTTCTATGACCACCCTGTCCATCTGCCCAGATAACCATTTCCCATGTGGCCCCTCCAGGAAGCCCTCCCTGACCTCCCAGTCCTTGAGGACAGAGCCCCCACCCCCACCCCAGTGTCTCAATGGCCCCAGACCCTCTTGGAAAGTGATCACTTCAGGGTGCCCAGTCCCCACTTCTGAGACCCCTCCCCTGCTGGCGGGACTTCCAGGACTCGCCTCACCTAAAGGATCCCCTTTAGTCCCTCTTCATCCTCCTCCAGCCCCTCCTCTCCAGCCAGGATCTGTCCTCATGCATGGATCACTTTACACGGGCGGATCCCTAGCTTTCTTTTTACCCATCTGTGCTTGGATGCATCATCACCCCTTTAGACAGCAAGCATTTGCAAAGCAGGACCCATGCGAAATTCACCTGGGAACCTCACTCTTCCCACTCAGGCAGCCCAACTCTGTACTCAATAGTCATTCAAAAAATACAATCTTGAAATGTGGAGTCCTTTGCACAGAAAGCGTTGAGTATTTCAAGATGGTGATTTCAAGAGGATTAAAGCAAATGGGGGGCTTCTGTTAAGCCACAAAGTGCCCACCCCCCATCTGCCTGCACTCCCATAGGGATGGGTCCCTGAGGCAGACATGGTTCACAATACTAACCTCCTTGCCTGGGACGCCTTTCTCTCCAGGTTCTCCCTGTGAAACAGAACAGCCTATCAGTCGGCTGCAACATCAGCAGATTGTAAGTCACGTGTCTCCAAAACACATCAGCACTCAAGTCAGCCTTCTATCAAGACAGTGGTCCATGGTCCAGTTGACAAAGGGCATCCAAAACAGGGTTCATAGTTTTTCCAGAGTTAAGGAAAAACATACCATGCCCCAGGGTGGGGAGGAGAGCCTCCAGGGCTGGGGTCCTCATGAGTGGGCTGGGTGTTTCTGGGCCATCACTTCTACAACCATCTGGTTGAGGTGGGGAGACTTTAATGAGGTGCAGACCTACCATCAGACACCTACATAGCTCTAGAGTCAGAGTGTCAGGGTCAACCTTGGCACCTCCACTATTACTTCTGTGACTTGTCCACCTCCTTGCAGCTTCCTAAAGCTCAATGTGACTCTGTGCCCCCATCTGTAAAATGGGATGAGTAGTTGTTCCTGACGTAATGGAGGCTCAGAGAAAAAGAGGAAGAACCCCAATGAGATGGATTGGCACAGTGGCAGCAGCAATGGGCATAAATGTAGCAATGACTGTGAGGTTGGCCCAGGACCAGGCAGTGTTTCATTCTGCTGTGCATGGGGTCATAATGAGTTGCTACTGATTCAATGGCACCTAACACCGACATGAGATTTAAATGTACAAACATTGTTAACTTCCATCACTTGGCCTTCGACTCATGGCGACTTCATGCACAATGGAACAACAATGCTGCCCGATCCTGCACTGTGTCCGTGGTTTATTGTAGATCACACTGTTGTGGTCCATCGGGTTTTCACTGGCTGAGTTTTGGATCAACAGACCTCTCTTCCTATTAAATGTGTTAATACCTGTAGTAAAGGATTCAGAACAGTGTCAAGCAGGTAGTAAGGGATGGCCAAACAATCACTAATTCCACTTTGAGAAATTATTGTGCCAAGTGTGTGAGTGTGTGTAAGAGTGGGTACCTGAAGGCTCAGTGGGAGCAAGAACATTCTTAATGTGGGGATGGAGAAGGAGGTTTGGGTCTTCAATGGATGGTACAACTGAGTGAGCAGCATCAATTAAAAATAAGTGGAGAAATTTCACAAATATATGGGACTCAGATTATTAGGGAGAGGGAAAGGGCCATTTTTGGTTAGAAGGCATTGAGTTCATTTTATGGGTGGGAGAATAATTTGGAAAAGGAGAGCGCTAATAGTTGTATGTGAATAATGTAATCAATGTAACTGAATTATGTATGCAAAAAATATTAAATTGGCGACTGCTTTGTTGTACATAATTTCACCAAAATTAAAAAAAAAAAAAAAAGTGGACAGAGTCATTGTTAGAGAGGAGAGGTGGACAGGAACGTGGGATACACTTTTGACTCTTGTAAGTCACGTCCAGCCCACGTCTCCTTTCGCAGCCTGAGTGTGGATGTAACGCCCAGAAGACAACACCAGTAAGCTCACTTTGGGCATGTTGGATCCTTCAGCATGCCAGGGTGGCCCTACTTTAGGGGAACCTCTGCCCAGATTGGCACAGCGGCTACAGCAATGGGCTCAAGCATGGCGAGGATGTGAAGATGCTGAAGGTAACAGTCAGTGTTACGGTCCATTCTACTGAGGGCTGCTGGAATGGCCTTAATGAAATAGCAGCAACACTACTGCTGTGAGATAACATAAGGACCGTGAGGACGGTGCAGGACACATGGGCAGTTTTGTTCTGTTGGACATGGGATGTACATGGGATGGTACATGGGGATGTACATGGGATGGTACATGGGGATGTACATGGGATGGTACATGGGGATGATACATGGAGATGTACATGGAGATGATATGATTTAAAACAACAACTGCCAGAACTCCCGTTTAGATCACCTGTAGCCCCCCTCTGCATCAAATTGTCAGCTCAGATGGGCCCAAGCGTCAGCTGGGGCACAAGCCTACTGTTTGGCCTTGAATAAAAAAATACTTTTGGTCCCAAAGCCCAAGCACCCTCATCTTTGAAATGACCTCTGAAGGTCCTTCAGGGCCTAGGGTCATCACCATGTCCACTGTCCCACAATGACCATCACCACCACAGCAGCTCCTATTGATTGGGCATTTGGAATGGTCCAGACACCTTTCCTGCTCCCTTTGTAGGAGTCGTCTCATTTGATCCTCAGGCATGGGTGCTGTTGTTAAGTCCATGGGAGTATTGAGGAGAGGAAGGCACATGGAAGTCAGGAGACTTTCCTAAAGTCTGAGAACCCCCCAAGTGTGACCTCTGAGCTCATACTTGAACCAGTGCATCTCACTGTCCACCAGATCAAGGTGCAGCATTGACCAGTTCACTGTGGTCTAGTAGGTGGGATTCTCGCCTTCCATGCGGGAGCCCCAGGCTCAATTCCTGATGGATGTATCTCATGCTTCATTACTACCGTCTGTCAGTGCAGGTTTCAGTGGGGCTTCCAAACCAAGATGGAGTAGGAAGAAGGGACTGGAAACCTACTTCTGAAAAGCAACCAATGAAAACCCTGTGGGTCACAACGGTCTGATCTATAACCCATCATGGGGATTAACGTCCCAGGTGTAGCGAGGGAGAGAGATGGGCAGCACTGGTTGGACTAAGAGTTGACAGGACTTGTGGATGTAAACAGACAAATCAGCAAAAGAGCTATCTCAAGATGGCACCCCTGGAATGGCTACATACTTTATAGGACCCTGTGAAAAATGATTATGTGTCCCTGGTTCAAAAAGCATTCAGGATTTCAAGATGGTAACGGTAGGGAATTAAAGCAAGAATGAGGCCTTCTTTCTTGCAAGACCAGGCATGAGGTCTTGATAGGTTGGGAACTGACTCAATGGCAGCTAACAACAACAACAGATGACCTAAGGGTACAGGAGGTGGCAGTAAACACCTGGAACCAGGCATTTTGGCCCCACTAGGGATCCCTGCTTACCGGAGGCCCTCGGGGACCCTGGAAGCCAAGAAGTCCTGGACTGCCATTTTCTCCTTTGCTGCCTTTCTGGCCCTGCAAAGAGAACACCACAGAGAATTAGCTCTTTTAGATGAAGTGCCCACGCAGTGGATTCAGAAAACTTACCACCCCTCTGTACTCTGAAGACCTTTCCTGAGAGGGTGGGGATTGGGCTGGGAAGGGACATGGAGTCTGGGAGGACTCCAGCTGTGTTGAATTCCAACAGTACTGTGAGCAATGGGAAGAGCACAAGGGGAGGTCCCCCCAGTACCGTCAACAACCTTTTCATCCAAAGAGGAAAAAACAAACTGGAACCAATCCTTAATAAAACACCCTGATGTGTGGGTAACCCCAAAATGTAGCCCTCTAGTGGGACACCACACTTCTTCCAATAAAGTTGCTACCCAGGTTCATGGTTTGGTGGGATCCTTCATCTATGACAGTGTATAGAGACTTTGGGAATCTTTCTGGTTCAGCCTTTGGGAAGCCATCAAAGTTGAGTTGGTTCTTCTGGGACCACGTCTTCTGCAGGGACTGGTTCTAGTCACGAGTCCCAATTCCATCCCAACTGTTCTGTCTCACCAGGAGTAACAAGGCCCACATCATAGCTCCAGGGACAGGAAGGGATTCAGACTCTCTGTGTGTGACAGCCTTCAGTGTGGATTGCATCTCAACATAAAGAAAACAAAAATCCTCACTACTGGACCAATAAACAACACTCTTATCAATGGAAAAACGATTGAAGTTGTCAAGGACTTCATTCTTCCTGGATCAACTATCAACACTCATGGAAGCAGCAGTTAAGAAATCAAACGACGTATTGCATTAAGCAAATGTGCTGCACAAGACCTTTTTAAAGTGTTGAAGAGCAAAGACATCAACTTGAGAACTAAGGTGCGCCTGACCCAAGCCATGGTATTTTCAATAACTTCTTATGCATGTGAAAGCTGGACAGTGAATAAGGAAGACCATAGAAGAATTGATGCTTTTGAGTTATGGTGTTGGAGGAGAATATTGAAAGTGCCGTGGGCTGCCAAAAGAACAAACAGATTTGTGTTGGAAGAAGTGCAGCCAGATTGCTCCTTGGAAGCCAGGATGGTCAAACTTCATCTCTCATACTTCAGACATATTGTCAGGAGGGACCAGTTACTGGAGAAGGGTGTTATGTTTGGTAAGGTGGAGGGTCAGAGAAAAAGAGGAAGACCCCCCAATGAGATGGACTGGCCAAGTGGCAGCACCAATGGGCTCAAGCGTATCAATGATTGTGAGGTTGGCCCAAGAGTGGGCAGTGTTTCGTTTTGTTGTACATAGGGTCACTATGAGTCGGTATTGACTCAATGGCACCTATAACAACACCAAAATGTGTGATGTTCCTGACCCAAAATGAGGTGGGTCTTCACTAGGTGACCACCGGTCCTGGTTAGCACAGACCTGGCAGGTGTCAAGAGACACAGCACTTTCAGGGTTAACACCAGGAAGTATTTGACAGATGTGGAGAGCTGGCCACTTGCATCGCCTTACCCATTGCCTCAAACAATTGTATCTTGACTCATCGCTTCCTGTGCATGGGTATTCTGTATAGATTTACCAGTTTCCACACATAAAAATACAAGAATGCTTGACCAGGAGGAGGCTACTGGACAGGCTTTGGGGTTCTGGTGTGGTGTTGTAGGAGAGATAGTAGATTACTAACTGCAAGGTCAGCAGTTTAAACACACAAGCCACTTCTCAGAAAGTGACTCCATAGCAGTAAACAGCAACAAGCGTCCATTCAGAGAACTACTGCTGGCCCAGTGCTTACAGAGGTTGGCTGCTAACCAAAAGGTCGCCAGTTCAAACTCACCACCCACTCCACAGGAGAAAGATGGAACAGGACACTTCTGTACAGATGGTAGCCTTGGAAATCCAATGAGGCAGTTCTACTCTGTTCTATAGCGCTGTGTCCAAATCAACTTGAGGACAGTGCTCCATTCCAGAACTATCTTTCCTACCATGTCTCCCACCTCCTAGGTCTGAACTCAAAACTATGGGATCTTCTACCCTGGAACAAGGACTCTGGGGATTAGGCATGCCATCTTCTTTCTACCAGTCTTCATGTTTCCCTCATCCCACCTCCTAACTAGCAGAAGGAGCTTCTTCCACCAAGACCGTTCTACTTCTAGTCCCATGTTGCACACTCACCTGTCCTTTGAAAAGGTAAGGGTTGGCAAACCTGATCCTGTCCTTTCATGTTCTAAGAATATCAAAACTTCACCTTTATTCCATATATTGTTGTTGTTGTTGTTGTTTAGTGCCGTTGAGTCAGTTCTGACTCATAGTGACCTTGTATAGGGTTTCCAAGGAGTGACTGCTGAGCTTGAACCATTGACATTGTGAATCAAACTGATCTTGCAGTCCAGAGCTTTATCCCACAGCACCACACCTAATGTAATACACATGTAGTTTAAAAGTTTTGTTTCTTTGGATGCTTACAGTTGCAGACAACAGAGCCGAGAGTATGATCATTTTAAACTTTGAAATGGGTCCAGCTTGTCTCTTGCCTTCAGACTGTTTCTACCATTGAAACTCACATCTCCCCATTTATGCTCTAGAGGTGGAAACTGGGCAATCTGCTATATATGAACCACATGTCGCTTTCAAAGCTTGCTCCTGACTCCATCCTTCAGCTACAGGAGAGTACTCACTGGGCTTCCTGGAGGGCCAGCATCTCCTGAAGATCCAGGTGAGCCGTTCTTACCCTGGAGGACAAAACAGAAGTGGTCATTCTGCCAAGATTCTCTGCCAGAATGTCTCCAAGCAAGAGGCAGGGAGAAAGCGATTTCCAGGTATGGCAGCCAAGTTCACACCTAGACTCTGTTACTCTGGTTCTCAGTAAGTTCCTTCCTAACTCCGATGATATTTTTAATCAATCAATATCAAGCATATCAGGAATTGTGAGTATGTCACAAGACTGGGCAGTGTTTTGTTCTGTTTGCCTGAACTCACAAAAAGTCGAATATACTGCGGACTGCCAGAAAAAAGAACAAATCTATGTTGGAAGACGTACAGCCAAAATGCTTTATAGAAAGGAGGATGGTGAGACTTACCAAGAGGGACGGGAGCCTGGAGAAGGACATCATGAACGGTAAAGCAGAGGGTCAGTGAATAAAGGGAAGATGGACTGGCACAGTGTCTACAACAAAGGACTCAAGCATACTGATGACTGAGAGGATGGGCCAGGACTGAGCAGCACCTTGCTCTGTTGTGCATTACGGACGTTATGAGTTGGAACTCACTTGATAGTAAGAGGTCGTATTATTCAATCCGTTGCATTGTTGTGGAATTCAGAGATTTTTGTGTCTATGAAGATGCCCAGCCTAGTGATAGGTACCCAAGACATAGTCACAATAAATGATCACAGTCACATTGATGCATTCATCCACCGACTCAGGTGCTCCGCGGAGGAACTGATGAACCAACCAGCACAACTCAATCTACCAATGACTGCTTTATGTCACTCCAACACTTCTTGGCTCACAAGGCATGTCACATGTTGATCCCATACTAGGGGTCATTACGGACTCCTGGTGTGGTCCTGTAGGATCGGCACTGGACTTCCAACTGCAGGATCATCAGTTCAAGCTCACCAGTCACTCCTCAGAAACCCTATACAGGGTCGCTGAGAGTCAGAATTGATTTGATGACACTTAACAACTTCAACAGGCATCATTGTGGGAAGCACAGTAGCTCTGTAGGATAAGCACTGGACTGCGAATCACAAGGTCAGTGGTTCAAGTCCACCAGCCACTCCACAGGAGAAATATGAGGCGTTTTGCTTCTGCAAAGATTTATAGCCTCAGAAACCCTATAAAGGGTGGCAGTGAGTTGGAACTGACTGGCCAGCACTTACCAACAACAGGCATCATGGTACACTCATTTAAGAGAGGAAGGGAGTTCTGGTGTGGTGCTGTGGGTTAATGCACTGGACTACACTGTTGGTTTGAACTGCAATGTTGGCAGTTCAAGCTCACTAGCCGCTCCTTGAAAACCCTGTAGAGACTCACAATGGATCAGAACTCACTCAATGGCACTCAACAACAACAAGAGAGGAAGATGAAAACACTGACACCTAGGGAATAGAAATGGCTTGTGCATTCTTGAACCTGAAGAGTATTTTATACACATTTGTAGCTTTGATAAATGCACTTAACCATAAGATCCTTGGTTGAGTAAATATCAGAGATATCAAGAAAGTGGCAGCTTACATATTCTGTGATGTTGGAAGTGACACCATTTATATTTCAAACACATCAGGGTGGACAGTGTCCCGCTGCATTTTCAGACCAAGAAAGACTAGGAAACAAGATTTGGCAATCTAATTCTGAAACCTACCCAGTGAAGACCCTATAGATCACAACAGAGCACTGTCTGATAGAGTGCTGGGAGGTGAGCGTCTGTGTTGGAAGGCACACAGAACGCACAGTGGTGCTAACAGTGGACTCAAAGCAAGTGGAGGACCCCAGACAGTCTGGGCACCGTCCCCACCCTGCTCTGCCCCTCACTGAGGCCATGGCTTATGGGGTGGTGACTGCCACTGCCAAGCACACCTGACTCAGAGTGACCCCAAGTACCACTGTGAACCACACACTCTTCACTGACTGCTTTTCAGAAGTAGATTACCAGGTCTTTCTTCCTAGTGTGTCAGACACTGCACCCAGGACCCAAACCCATTGCCATGGAGCTAATTACAAGTCTTCTACCTCAGGAAGACCCATGCATTCCACCACTGAACCCAATTCAGCATCATAGAAATACACAAACCGCTACCAACAGACCAGGTTACGGGAGGTGGAGTCAGGCCTCCTGCAGGGACGATGACAATCCCACCCCTGAACCACCATGACCCTCTGACTTGGCCCTGAGTGACCACAAGCACCTCTTAACCCCTTGTGCCTCTCAGGCACCTCCATTCTCTACAACCTCTCAGGAATCTTATGAGCAAGTGTCTTTACCCCTTCAGAGCAGATGGGGAAACTAAGGCACACATGGGTCCTCAGTGAGCACTGAGCCCACCCCAGTCCTCCCTGCAAAGGCTGCTCCAGGCTGCCTCCTCTCTTCACCCCCTCCATCCACCCACCCATCTGTGCCCTGTGCTGATTGTATCTCTCCTCCATCTCCCTCTGCTCTTTTCTGTTTGCTGGAGGGAGAATGTTCAACAGGAGGCGAGGTGCACTCAGGGGGTGAGGTGGAGAGATTCTGGACACCAAGCCTCTGTGCGCTTGAGGCTCACGGGGCTGAGACTCTTCATACTCTGTTGCCTCGAGATTGCTCCCCAGTCTCTGCCACCCAGGAATGGGGCCACAGAGCCCTGGATTCCAAATGCCTGCCCCCAGTCCCCTGCCTTGCCAGGGTGCCCTACCTCCAGTCCCCTGCTCTGCCAGGGTGCACTTTCTGAGCAGGACAGCCAACACACAAGAATACACTGGAACTGCACCCTGGGAAGCAGATTGCTCAGAGCCAGGCCTGCTTTGCCACTTATAAGCTGTGTGATCTTGGGCAACTTCCTCGATGTCTCTGTGCCACCAGTTCTTATTTGTCAATGGGGAGAGCAATGGGCTCACCTCAGTGAGTCGGTGAACGTAAATGCTAGCACAGCCCTGGGCCCTGAGCCTTTTGGTGTTTCTTGGATGGTGGGGGCTTAGGGGGTTACGTGTGTCCAGGAAACCACGCCTGCTGCTCACCATGCCTAAGGGGAGATTTTATTTTATTGTGATTTGTGTGAAAGGAGCAAATTCGTTCTCTATTGAACCACTGGTACACATTTTATTGTGTGACATTGTTTGCAATCCCAATGTCCTCCCTGTGTTTCCTGTTTCCATTCATCCTTTGCTCCCACCTCCTCCTGCTTTCTGAGCTTTCTCCTTGGACAGATGCTGCCATTCTGATCTTTCTGGTTGTTTCAAGCAGACCTCCCTGGTGTGATTGTTCACCTTACAGGCCTATCCATCTATGGGACCACAAGGGTGAATTCAGGTCTAGGCCTGAAGAGTGGTGTTTACTAAGGCCGCATTCTTGGGGGTTCCACCCACATCTAAAGTAAAAATGGAAACTTTCAGGCATTGCCCACATCCAATGGCACCATAGCTATGAACTAGAGGCACTCCAGCAAGATTCAAGGTCTGTGGTGCTTCAGGGTAAGCGTTGGACTGCTAAACATATGATTGGTGGTTCAAACCCACCAACTGCTCCTTGGAAATCCTTATACAGGATTGCTATGTGTTGAAACTGACTCAACAGCACTTAAAAACATCAACAGTCCAGGGTCCAGTGATCTTCCCAGGGCTCCCACACCCTTCTCTTCATTCAAGAAACCTTCTAAGGTCCTGATGAGTAAGAATCCAGGTCAGCAAACACAAAGTTCAAAAAAGGAGGGTGTATAAAACTTACACTAACACATGGTGTGGTGCTGAGGGCTAATGCGCTGGACTGCAATGTTTGTCTGAATCACAAGGTCAGCAGTTCAAGCTCACCAGCCGCTCCTCGGAAACTGTATACAGGGTCGTTATGGGTTGTAACCAACTTGATGGCACTTAACAACAACAACAACAACAACTAATAATCACACTCCATGAGGCACGTCCTCCTCAGAACATCAAGCCACAAGACACCCAAAGGACGGCATTTGCCCAAAAATAAAGCTCAGAAGGCAGAAAGGGCGGACGAGAGGAAATGGGGGGGAGACACAGGAGACAGTGTCACAAAATGTATAAATGGTTTAAAGGAAAATGAATTTGCTCTGTAAGCTTTCACCCAAATCACAACAAAAAGTAAAAGAGAAAAGAAGCATGTGAGCATGCGCAGAGAACACACTAGGCGTCTCTGCCCTCCACGCAGAGAACCGTGCGGATCGGTCCATGCTATGTTGTCCATATTCTCAACAACAATGACAAAATAAATACATTTTAAAAGAAAGGGATGGTGGAAAGGTCATCAGAGAAGTGGCCCAGAGCCTGCTTTAGTGTGTTTTAACAAAGACAAAGAAAACGAACAGTAAGCATTTACTGTTTTATTGGTAACAGATTCCTGATGCTCGTCCTCTGGATGGACATGGACACACTAGAAAGCTGCCGCTCTACTTCTGAGCATATGGTGACTCCTTCAAGGTCAAACCCACCTCCAGCAAGGGCACCTGAGGCAGTTCACAGCCTCACCTGGAGACTAGAGAAGGTTTCCCTCAGCTCACACACCTGTCCTCCAGAACACACAGGACATCACCTCATGCCCTGTGTCATCTCCTCTGCCTTTGAATGTGTTTGCTTTATATTTGCTCTTATGGTCTTCGAGGATGGATTGTGTGCTGCCCTTTGCTAAGACATGCTGGGGGAAGACAGAGCTATGGGCCTGCTCCCGCCCCCAGGAGAAGGACTGAGATGCAGTTCAGTCAGGGGTTCTCCTCTGAGCCCAGCATGTTTGATCATGTCATGGAATGAATTTATGGGATTCTTTCACTGGCCCCATTTGACAGATGAGAAAATTGAGGCCTAGGGGAGGTGAAGAAAGTCACCTAGCTCATAGGATGAGCCAGGAATCAAGTCCAGATGGTCTCATAGGATGAGCCAGGAATCAAGCTCCAGATGGAGCTTGGATGCTGAAGCCAAGAGCCCTGGTGAGGATGAGCCAGGAATCAAGCTCCAGATGGAGCTTGGATGCTGAAGCCAAGAGCCCTGGTGAGGACCATTCACACCTATAGGCGCCTGGAGGGTGCTTCTCAGCTTCCTAGGAGTCTTTTCAGACATGTCCCCAAACTGTAATACTGCAGATACTCTGTATGTGCACTGGATACATACAAAGGTAAACTTGGCCTTCAGACACCCCTTAGGTCTGGGACTGAACTCACTCCCATGGCTCAACTTTCAGACGAACAATAGAAAGGTCCTTAAGGTGAACAATAGCACCTGGTAAGTACACACACCTTAGAACCCTCCACATCTGAGACCAAAAGCACAGAATTTACCCAAGGACCAAGTTCAGAGGTGGGTAGGAGAGGAAGAGGAGTGGAAACGGGAGACACAGGGAGGAAGGGGGGAAGGCAGGTGACAGTGTGGAGACTGCAGTCACTGAGATGAGACAAAATGTGGAAGAAATGCATGGAAAACCTTTACCCACTTCAAAATAAAAAGTTTACAACAACAATAATAATAAGGTTTTTGCTTCCCAAGATTCCTCTTGCTAGTGATTGTTGTTGTTGTCAAATGCCATAGAGTAGGTTCTGACTCATAGTGAGTTGGATCCTGTATAGGGTTTCCAAGGAGCAGCTGGTGAGCTTAAACTGCAGTTCAAATCAGCCTTGCAGTCCAGTGCATTAAACCACAGTACCACCCAGGACATGCTTCTAGATCCTAAGCTTTGGGATCAGCCCACATGTACCTCAGAAGAAACATCTAGCAGTTTTCATCTGTAAGATCATTTGTTTTTGTTGTGAAATGTCGTCGAGTCAGTTTCAACTCATAGTGACCCTGTATAGGGTTTCTGAGGAGCAGCTGGTGAGCTTGAACCATTGACCTTGTGGTTCAAACAGCTCTGCAGTCTGACACATTAAGCCACAGCGCCACCCCAGGACTCCTTAGGCATGACAGTTCTAGGAGCGTAGTTCTGCTCTAACACACAGGGTGAGTTGGAGTCAACTCAACAGGAAGGGGTTAAACCCAGAACAAGGCTCCAGGGAGGTCCTCTAAGGTCAACACCCATGTCAGGAAGGATCTTCATGATTTCCAGATTGTGGAAAGCAATCCCAGAAAAGAGGCTGGTGAGTGGGTCGATACTCAGGGTGCTTAGAGCAGTGGTCACTGACCAACTACATGACAGATTGCCATTTTGTAACAGCACACAGAGCTGCATCATTCATCAACCATGAGGAGCACCTGGAGAAACATGGACCACATTAGTCTCAGAGAAAACTCACCGGAGGGCCCCTAAGTCCTCGGGGCCCCTGTGGTCCCATGGGTCCAGTGTCACCCTGAAACAGACAGAGAGGAGTCATATTAATACAGAGTCCCTGCAAGAAAAGATGTTGGCCCAGCTTCCAGATGGGACTTGCCCACATCATCCAAGAGATTGCATCCAAAATGCATGACCATGACTAGCCAATGATTCAAACTGTGGAGAAACTCAATTCATGTAGAGGGGCTTGTTGTTGTTGTTGTCAGGTGCCAT